TAAGAAACAATTTTACCTTATACTAGTCAATTTGCAGAATGAAACATTTCTATACTATAAGATTAGCAGCTTTCCATTTAGTAACATAATTCGATTCTTCATTTCTACTTTCACAAGACTTCGGTCTTTTACAATCAATTCTACAATTTTTGAAAGGTATAGAAGAAAAAATAAACTTAAACCTAAGTCAAATCTTATTTGTTAAATTATTATTTATATACGTATGTACATATGTACATATGCAGAGTATATACTAATTATAAGTGTCACTAAAAGATTTTCAGAGGTGATTTGTAACATTTCTCACAAATTCAAGATGAAAACTTCATATGATCATACATTCGAAACAGCTTAGTTTCAAAGATGCAGGTTATCAAAATGTTGAAGGAAAAATTTCATTTTTTCTACAAATTTCGAAAACCATTCCAATTATTTTGATAAAATTTTATATATCTTTAAATTTCCAAAATAATTAGAATGGTTTAAATATACTGAAGTGCGTCCAAAACTTGATAATTCTGAGTATCTTTTATCCTTATTAAATGAACAGCAAGGATAAAATAATATTCAAGTTAGTAGAAACGAATTTAGGAACGCAACTTAACGTAGTGTATCTTGAGGAATCACTCCTTAAAATTTTTTAGCGTACTTAGTATACACCCTGTATATGTATCTATATACATATACGTATATAAATTATATATAATTTTGTATATATGTATATATTTATATATATATATATATACAAAATTATATTATATATTATATATATATAATATAATATAATCTATATTACATAATTATATAATTAACAAAAGTAAATATTTCTTACAAAAATAAATAATATATATTCTGAGTAATTTTACGCTTGTGTATGTTTACAGAAATATCTACAATATAATTAAAACTATATAAACTAACTTATACCTCTACATTCATATTCATAAATTACCTAATGGTTTTCATTTATCGTATTGCACCTATAGTATTTTGAACTAACTTATATTTTCCTCTTTTTGTTCTCTATTATTCTCTCATTTCTTTCCCTCGTTAAAAGTTACTTAAATGGAAAGCATTCATGCTAGGTTAATCAATGCATAATTTTAATGCATTACATTTCAAAAATTGTGAGAAATTTAGATTTAAATCCTTTGAATAAATAAACGGTCTGTACTTAAAATTTACATGAAATAAAACATTTTGTAAATATTTGACAAAATAAGAATATCATGTAAAAATAAATTCTCGATCACTTTCTAGTGTGAATGACAAGTAATGTCTGCGTCATTTTCATTTTCTGTATTTTGAATCTCATCATCAATGTCAATATCGCATATTCTATGGGAATGTACATCTAAAGCTTCAGTATTTGTCGCTGCATCTAACAATGGTGATAACTTCTCTGCTTCACTGTCTTCATCTTGTCCTTGTCCCTGTGTTCATAAATTTATATCTCTAATAAAACAATCTTTATGTTATTCTATACAAATAAAAATTAGAGTTGCTAAATTGAGCCGAATTAAATCAAATTTTTGAAATCATTATCATAAAAAAAGGAGATTTCTTATTGATTCTACACGATCAATAATATTGTCAGTATTATTAACCGTGAAGGGTCACTAATGAGTAGACTTGTCCAGTTTAAATTATTGATATCAGTTGTTACATTTTTTAAAAGTAGCATACCTCATATAAGGAAGTTGGTTGTTTCTCATTAACCAATCTCAGTGTATCGCGCGTTCTTAAACCAGATTTATCTCGTGAATGTACCGATTTGGTTCGCATAGCTGGAGATTTGTTATGCAGCTCCTTTTGAGAACCCGAGTGCTCGTCTCTAGCTAATAATACGGACATACGGAATTCGGGAGTCGGACAAGCAGTACTAGATCTGGCCGACATATCAGTTTCTTTGGCGGATATGTGTTTCAAGACTGGGGTACGTTCAGCAGAGCTACAAATGTACACGTTTTCCATATAGTTTACGTAATAATGATTGCTTGAACGTTTAATTGTTAACATTTTGTAATTATAAACATACATGATATCGATACGAACCGATTTAGAGTTTCCGCGGCTTGAATAGCACTTGCTGTATCTGTGTCAGGAGTATCCGGTGATTCTGGCGCAATAATGGCAGTTCGTAGAGTATAAGGTCCATTTAAAGCTTCTATCAGAGATACCGCTTCGTAACCTGATGGAATATTCTCGCAGCTCCCCTGGAATAATAATTTCAAGATATATCAGATAGAATGCTGACGATAACAAAGACACAGCGATTGAATTAACTTAGAAACTTACAAAATACATTCAAAGGTACGTAGTTCAAATACGAACGACTTTTTTGTATGACTATCAAAGAGGTACTAATGTTAGTAGATATATTTACATTGATTGTGAATAATAAATAGAAGTGTCTATTTACACTTTAAATAGTTGTCTCACGGTAATTCCGCAGTTATAATTTTCGAACAAATAGTACCGAGTATCATTGCGCACTGTACCTTTGATAGTATCTCTTTTCCAAACTGTACATCGTTTGTAAAAATTGTGACGGCTTCAACATTTTTATTCGCAAAAAACTGAATCAACGCATGAATTTAAACATGTTGCGCAACGGCATTTTATACTATTTATTCGAACATAGTAAAAACAACTACAGAAACAATTATCGCAGGACCACAATTATGTAGGCCGTGAGTAGACAAATCCACCTTTCAATCAGAGTAAATATGTCTATCAACATTAATTTATATTCACATAAAAAATTCATATTTGAACTACCCTCGTCATAAAAAATAATAAAATATGTAAAAGCTATATCTAGTTATCTCACCTCCGGTAATGGTGGATTGGATATAATTGTGCCGGTCGCCTTTTGAAGAGCTTTAATTTGTAAGAGTGCCCTAAATGGTGCGCGACATATCGGACAGTTGTTCGCTTGATATCTTAATGAATCAGCGCAAGAGTTGCACAGACACAAGTGTCTGCATGGTAAAATTAACGTGTCGCGTACCTCGCTCATGCAAATAACGCATTCAGAACCGTTGTCTTCGGTATCCTCATCACTGCCTTGTTGCTGTAAAAAAAAGAACGATCAATTTCTGAATTTTTTTATTCTTGGCTTTATGTGAAATTTACAATTAAAGTATCTTAAATTTATTTGCAAACAAGATCAAACTGAAATAATAAAATAAATATTTAAATAGTAAAATATTTGTATATGTGAGATAAGAAGAAACAAATAATATAAAAAATACTATTTATTCTTTTTTACTTCATAAGCATGCAAAAATAAGAAATAATATTCTTTAAATATTAGCATAACTAAATTTACGCTAAATATTCATTTAGGAACATCTAGAATATTGCATGTGTCGAGATTAATGATTAAAATGTTATATTTCAAGTTACAATACTTTCAAATTTTTTAAAAATGAAAGAAAAATTCACATTTTTTTCAGTTATACATTAATTAATTTTTTTATTTATAATATTATTAACATTTCCTTAAAAAATTCGTCATTTGCACGAATATATTTTTCAAAGTTTCAAAACTTCAAAGTTAACTTTAAATTTCAAAGCTTCGAATTTTCAAAATCAATCAAAAGTAATAGTCTTACTTATAACTTTTTTTCTGGAAGCAAAAAAAACGCGCGTATATAAAATAATATATTCTTTCAAATATAATATTGTAGATTTTCATACCTTTGAGTTTTCAGTATTTTTATTTTCAATTCCATATATCTCCTGTACCAAATAACAGAGACCATCTACATAAAGCTTTTGTTTAAGCGCTTTCAATACGTATGTTCCATCGGAATGTTTTTCAACCACGGCTATAGTTGTATGAGATTGTTTCAAATCGTCCGATCCTTCCTCTGCTACACAATGTATAGCTATCGGGATAATCTATAATTTATAAAATCTATCAATTATAAAAAAAGATCTTACTTAAAAATATTATTTTACATGTAGAGGAAAGGTCCCTATTATGAGATACCGAGTTCATTTTGGGTAAATGCTAGAAGTCTATAGGCAGAATTTTAAAAAATAATAGATCGTTTTAAAGGGAATTAAGCTTTAAGATAACGTTATATAAAATTTAATTCAAATTCCATTGTTTTTTGAAAATTAAAAAAATGTAAAAAGTAAGCAAATCGGAAAGTCAAAAAATTATGCTTTTGATATGAAATTCCCCGAGAAATCGATAGTAAAAGTATATCAGTATATCAGTATTGCAATTATATATATATATAAAATTTTAATTTTTTAATGTTTCTAAAATACAAACAAATAGCCAGCGTGCGCGAAAAATGAGCATGCGATAGATTATACCCAGAACTCGTCTTCAAGTAGTTGAAATCAAGCATCGCAGAAATAAGCACTCGACGTTTATTCCGGTTCTTTTTTATTATTGTACAATAACATTTATACTTTAGCAACGATTTTTACTATGACACAGAAGCATGGGTTATTTCATATTAGAAATATCCTGAGTATCTCATATTACGATTTCCACATCTTATGATTTTACGATCATCAAATCTAACTTCTGTAATTAAACAATTCAACATATTCCATACTTTTCTATTAGTACGACCTTACTCTATCACTGCATAAAGAATTTATTGCTAAATATTTATTTATTAAATAATAAAGAAGGTTTAAAGGCTCATCTCAATAAAACTTGAAGACATCCAAATTTTTAAATCTTGTTTTACAATGATTACAGGCATGATTTAATAATGAATTTTCTACTAAATAGTTTTCAATCCAAGAACAATAAATACATGGTGGGACCAATAGATAGCGTTTATTAGTTCAGCAGAAACACCGCTCATATTAGATGCCTATCTCATAATAGAGGGCTTTCCTCTATATATTCTCAGAAGAAAAGTGACATAAGTCAAAATTTTTCAAATTTCATATTATATGAGGAATATATTCTAAATACATCAGTTTTTTCAATTAGTAAAAATGATACAAATCAAAATTTTTAGGAGTTTTAAAATATTCATTTAAAATTATTTATGGCAATATTAAACATAAGTTAACTAAATATAAGTAAAACTAATCCAAAATTACTTATTTCAAGTTTTAAGTAAAAATAATGTAAATATTAATTTTGTTATATGGTGTTATGTTAGACCCTTAAAAAATTATCTCTATTTTGATTTATCATTTTTCCTATTTTCACTTTTTTCTATTTTTATTTGATTTCGGATAAACATGTATCACTTTTTTTCACCATTTTTTTTTCTTTTCTGTCTGCTAAACAATTTTATATTTTTTATTTGTATAATTTTCTTGCAGAGGTATAATATATGTATATTATGATTCAAATACTTCTCTATCAGCATTGTACATCAGATCTTCTTCAGTATACAATGTTGGATCAAATATGTGTGATGTTTGTGAGAATAATTGATTTGCTCCTTTTTTATAATGATATGTTTCAGAATTCATAGATGGATCTCGTGGTATGTATCTGAATTTGATAAAAATAATTGTCATTGTTTTTCTGTACAGCAATGGACACATTTAACAGACAAAACAGATTTGTGAGCGCTTAATAAGTGCATTCAATACTACAAACCACTTACTAAGTGTTCATACAAACCAAATGTCTGCCAAACTCAATGGCTGCATTTAGTAGAGAAAACTGAGTGCTCAATGATTGTTTAATCTGGTTCTTGCTTTTAATTCTTCATTGAATCTAAGTGTAGGAACCAATCATAGTAAAGAATCACTGAATATTCACTGATCAGTTTTCTCTGCTGGGCACATTTAGCGAACTCAATAGTAGTTGAATGAGCACTCACTGTTATTACTATATTTTAATTGTAGAATAAATTTAACATATAATATACATACGCAACTCCCTTTGTTGAAACCTCTTCTGTACAAAAGTAATAAATTGTTATTGCACATCTTACATCACAGTCGAACACAAATTCAATATTAAAACGATTAGGTTTCTTATCAATGTCATTATCTCCATAATGTTTAACACTGTGGTAATGCGAAGACGTCGACGTCTGATCCATATTACGAACTAATCTCAGAGATTCCTTGCGTATGTTAACTAAGCTCTTCAAAGTCTTTGTAGGATCATTGGCTTGTGGTGGCGGATACGGAAACTGCAAGAGATACAAAAACTGAAGATAAAATGTAATTAATAGAAAATAGATAAAAGATATATCTGCAAAGATACATCCAATATATACTTAATATACACTCATATTTAAATAGATTCTTTGTATACATTTTGCTAATATATAGAAAAAAAACTTTATATTGTACTGTCATGTTCGTACAGGAGTTGGTCGGCTGCCTAAGAAATTTAGGTCTGCATTCTCTCCAAAGAGATATGCTTCAGGCTGAGGTGTGTCGAATCGTTCACCACCCATTATAAAATGACTGCCAAAGTAGGATCCTGTTAGAGAATAATTCGCGTAATTAGTGAAGTGACAGAAAGGAGATTATGCATATTTTGTGAATGTAACGTATGAGGTTTTACAATTTGAAGTAAATCAAGTACCAGATCTTGGAGGATATTTATATGCGTGGTTCGAAGTAATATCAACCTCCTCGACGCCAGCGTTCTGCCTACTGGTCAACGATCCCATTTTGTTTAGTAATCACAGCATATACAACATGCGGTCAAATGGCAAATGTAGTATTTGTTTCTCGTTCGTAATAGAAAGTAGAAGCGCGTGTGCATGTATACTCGTGAAAATTCTGTGACTAAAAACTCGAAAGTGTCTAAAGTCTGCCACAGAGTCGTCACAATTTACATGTATGGGTAGAATTAATTCGACTTTGTCGATTTGTTGTTATTGATAAAAAATAAAAAGGACAGTCAGATCGCAGCAGCAAATATAGATCTGTTTTCTATAGTGTACATACATACACTTTTGGAACTAAATGGGTGCATCCAGAAGTGACGACCGCTCACTGAGCGCTCACTGAGCAAAAAAAGGATTAATCTATTATTAATATGTTTATTTATTATAATTCATAACGTAGAATAACTTTGTTTACTATAGATAATCTTTAATATCATCTTTTTTATTTATTACTGTTTATTATTTTTCTAATGCCGTGTTTAAGCCGTAAGGTTATGTAGCGCTCAGTGAGTGGTGGAGCGTAATTTTAAGTCGCTCCATCGCGAATATTAAGGATTATCTATAGTAGATAAAGTTATTCTATGTTACGAATTATAATAAATAAACATATTAACAATAGATTAATCCCTTTTTTATTCAATGAGCGCTCAGTGAGCGGTCGTCGCTTCTAAATGCACCCAATGCCTATTAGCGATATCCAATGAGAGCTGCTTTGCATTATCACGTGAGAAAAAGCAGAGCTTTCATTAGATATCGCCGTTGCGTCCAGTGTGCAGTTACACTGTGCAATGGGTAACACTGAAGGGAATGTTTAATATAGTCTTGTAAAATCATATCTTTATAATAGATTTTTTGGTGTAAGATAAATAATAATTAAGCTATTTACTTTGAATTTTAATGATGATATATTCATTTGATGAATTTTTGTGTCAAAAATTCTGAAAAAGTATCGCTACTTGGCCTAAACATTTTTTAAGGTTATAGGAAACTTATCATTAAACTCTTTAAATGAAATTTGAATTAAACATTTATCTGGAATAAATTTAAATTTTTCTGATTCAGGTTGAATTCAAATTGAACATAATTATATATGAAATTTGTATTTTAATACATATTGATATGATCCCATATAAATTTTCTCAATTGTCTTTGATACCAAGTAAAAATGAGTACTCGGGTATTGAATGACATTCATAATGATTTAAAACAGCTTATAACAGCGCTTACATCATTCGAGGTATGTGTACAGTCAACATAACATTTATGACATGTTCACATTTATGACATGTGTGAGGAATTAATGACATCTTACAAAATATAAATTTTTACATACTCAGGAAGATGAAGAAGGATTTCGAATATGCGAACGATTTTGTTTGTCAAATATTAAACACCATCGCTACCTTTCTATTGATAGTCATGCAACCAAGGAAGCAATAAATGCAGTGTTTACTAAATTTTCGATCCATGGAAAATATGAGGTTGCTAAAAAGTTTCAGGAACTAATTGATTCCTTCTTGTCTAGTTTTGACTTTGAGCAACATCCACAGTACGATCTACAGTGGCATTTGTTGACGTTCTTGTTAGATTTATCCACTGAAACACATAAGTCTAACTTAGACAGCTTAAAATTTACACGTGGAGAACACAGTTTTAATACAGGTACTGGAAATGAAGATAGCATTACAGATGAAATTGATTGGGCACAGTATTTAAAGGAGGGCCAGGAAAATTTCTTTTGCAATTATAAAAGTGATGATAGCGAGAGTGTAGGTATTTATGCAAGAAATATGAAGGTAAATTTTTCTCATTTATGTTAATGTTTTTTATCTTTGTATTTGTATAGGAATGGTCTGATTTAACGGAAGAAGGAACTGATGAAAATGATATTTCTTTATCAACACAAATATGTAATATTCAATTAGATATTGCACAGCCTTTAGAAGTTTCTGATACTGTAACAGATAAATTCTCTCTGGCTTTAGTACAAAATCTTGAATCTAGGAAATGGCTCTTATCAAATGTTCAAACCGATTGGTGGAACAATTTAAAATGTCAAAAGTATCCTGTTATTAAACAATCTTGTGACACCAGTATATGTGACATATGGTATTTTTTATTTTTACAATATTTTTCTGTTAAATTATTTTATCTAAGAGACAATAATTAAATATGTGATATTATAAATTTGTACTTATAGGCATAAGACAAATTTGTCAGTTGTGTATAAAGTGGCTACTCTCAGTGAGTATCAAGTATGTAGAGAATTGTTATGGATGTTTTACATTCAAACATCAATGGTAGTATTTCAAGAGGACAGCGAATCAAAATTCTCAATACGTTCGGATATATCTATACCGAGTTTGACAACTGTACGTTACTTTTATTATTTTCAAATTTTATGCAATTTTTTGTTATATATTATATCAAATTATTATATTATTTGTATACTACTTTCAGACTGCTTTTAAAAGTATTTTAACACCGTTCTGCGAGTATTTTTCGATGATATATGATATTGAAAAATTCGGATCTGATTTGCAATTAACTTGTAACCAAGAATCGGAACTTCCTCCTTTGACCTATGAAGCATATAATGCTGCACTTAGGCAATATTTGTATGAATTTAAAACTGAAGTGGTTAATATGGAAAAAGATATTATGAAGCAAGGTAAGTTCATGCATTTGTTTGTTTTATTATAGTTTTACTAGTAAATATTTTTTTATGTTCTAGAAAATTGCAATACGTTCTTATCTTTATCAACTAAGCTGAGAAGACATTTGAATATTATAAATATTATCTATGATATACATCAGAATGTTATAACTGATTGGAAAGTTTACCCTAATTGGAAATGCGCATCTCGACTGTTGTCATCTTTATATTATGAGATGCAAAATTCTCATAGTCAGGAAAGAACAAATATTTGTATAAATTTGTACTTACATAGCCTTACTGTTTATCTTAATATAATCGATACATGGCTGAGTGAAGGACGGTTAGAAGATTGGCGAGATGAATTTATAATTGTGAGGTACAAATGAGAAATAAATAATTAGAATTAAAATTTACTATAATAATAATTCATTATATATATTGTTATACTTATTTTTATGTCTATTATTATACTTAGGATTATAGAGGATGAAAATGATGAACAAATTGAAAAATTTACGATTCGATTATCCGATAATATCTGTTTAACAGATCCAATTATGCAATTTTTATTGCAAAAAGTGCAACATATGGGTCACAGTATTGAATTACTTATATCTTTAGACCGGATTACCGATATATGGAGAATGGATAATGAGGATAATGGTCTCTAATTGTGACAAATATCTTATATCATTATGTTATAAACTTATATTTCATTATAATTTATTACAGATATAAGGATCTCATTAAACATTGAACTACAAAATAAATTATTATTCGAAATATCTAAATATAGCCTACCAGTGGAGGAGACAGATACTGCACTGCAATTAGATGAAATATTTCTAGAAGAATATGATGCTGATATTGAAAAGAATATAATACAACAGTTATCAACTTTACACAATCCATTTCTCATGAAAGCCATGGAAGATTACATGCCGTCTGAATTGTATAAAAACGATACAGTGGATTCTCATGTGCATAATACTTACGATTCTAAAACAAAACAAGGCCAAATACATAACTTATACAGAGAGTATGTATATGTATTTATTAACATATTAAGATAATTTATACATTAAAATAATGTTTTTTGTAGGCTACAAAAGATAAAATATATATTGCCGATGCAAAACATTTTAGAGAAAACATTGTCTGAGATTTTGATGTTACGTTATAACAGTGCTAGCAAATTAGTAAAAGATATTATGATTGATGAATACAAGCTGCAAACGCATTTGAAACTACTGAGGTTTGTTTATATGATGGAAGCTGGAAACGTTATGAACCAATTTTATCAAATCTTGTTTTACGAGGTAAAAAGAGAAAGATATTAGCCTTTTAAGATAATTTTTTGTGTGTAATATAATTATCAATTTTAGATCGAAAATAATCAAATGTGGGCTAATTCGTATTTTCTGTCATGTGTTCTTGAAGAAATATTTTCCCAATATTGGCCAGATACAAGTTCACGCTGGTCGGTTATGGTCCATGGCAATATCAGTACTCATCAAGTATTACAAGCTGTAAATAGTATAACACTGCATTATACAGTAGAATGGCCTATAAGTATTGTATTGACTAAAAAAGTTTTGGAAAAGTACAATGAAATATTTAGATTTCAATTGAAATTAAAATATGCCTTGTGGACATTAAATAACTTAAGATTTTGTGGTAAATAACTATGGTTTGAAATAAATACGATATGCTTTTGCGACACATTTGTATTGTTCCATCTTTTTTTTCAGATCTAGAAGATTCTAGGTCATCATATGTAAAAGATAGATTGGAACAATTTCAGATAAGACGCCTTGAGAGCTTGAGATTTTGGTTATTGCATGCGATAGGATCTATACATACATACTTGTCCGGTCAAGTATTACAGAGTCTGGGTTTTATACTAGAAAAAGTTCTAACTCAGGCAGATAGTCTCGATACTATTATATCAGGTAATGATCAAGATTATCTTCAAGAGAAGACAAATTTCTCGTCTTATTGCATGATTACTACAAAATGTAAAATTTTCTTTGAAGAAAGAAAATGTTGGGTGAAATAGCCTTAATAATTTTAATAAACATAAGCGGTCTTTTTGCAGTACATAATGAATACTTGAGCAAAGTTCATGAACATTGTTTATTAACAGAGGAATTTAAAGATTTAATGACAACTATAAATAATGTATGTACATTTATTGAGTGACTAAATAATGGTAAAATATCAGTTTATATAGAATTTATTTATCACTCAAAAAAATTATGTTTTAGATGATCGAAATGTGTATTCACATACGAGATCGGTGGTCACGCAAAAAATTATTGTTAGCTGCTACAGAATTGGATGTGATGGAGCACAGTTACATAAAATACCATACGTATCTTGCCTTAGCTTTGCACAATGCAGTACAACATAAGGATGCGGATTATTGTAAGTTTTACAATTTATTAGCTATACTTAACGTATTTCAATATAGTTGCCCATAGTTTTGCAATCAATCGATCATTTCAAAATATTATTAAAACAGATGCCAATCATTATAATGTTGAAAACAAAAAATATGTTCAAATTATTTTTTCAAATCAATCGTTGAAAGATACATCAATGTGATTAATATATACTGACGTATTGAAACCTGATATACATCATATACCCGAAAAATATCCACTAGTAGATGTTAAATTGTTGCATGATCATTAACAGTATTGCTTCTTAATATCCTCCCTTTGCTTTATTTACAGTGACTGGCTTAAGTTCAGCCTTTAATTGCAGTATGCCATGTGCTTAATTCTTTATTAATAGAATATCAACTCTTATCGATTTAATAACACTACCAGTGTGCATCTTGATTTTTCTATTTGGAATTAACAACGACATCAATTCCATTTCACTTGTTTATCAATCATTGCTTTATATTACAACAACATGTAGTATTTAGTAGATCGTTATTTTATTAGATCAATGTATATTATTACTTCGTTTATGATTAATTATAATTATTTATATTAATAATTTTTTTATACAAACTTGTGTAAAGGTCTATAATATTTATAACGTAAGAATTATGTATTTAATTTTTAATACAACTTTTTTGTACAAAGAAAAATAATCAAAAGAAAAATGTTATCTTTTAAAATAAAAATTGTTTGAAATTATATTGACTCTTCTATCACTGCGTATGATTACCAGTACAATTGTTATCCAGTGTGTCAACTTCCAATATCCTGTTTCCTTATACAATCCTTTCCAGATAAATTGATGCCATCGTCTGCAGCCTGTATCGACAGCAAATTATTCGAAGATAGTGAAAAATTTATTAAACTTATTACTGATCTTAGTCGAACCTTATTAACAGAAATCGCATACCAAAGTTTACCGCCATCAGGCATTCCTCTACCAATCCCGAAGTTAATTTATGAAAGGACTTGGCAAATGAAGTAAGAAAATGTAATTATATTGTATAGATATTTTAGTTAAAGTTCATACAATTATTAACTTTAAAAGTTTTAGTTCAGAATCATTATTACCTGTTGAAGTATCCTTAAATGGGTATGAACAAACCTTTTCTTACATGCGCTGGTATCAATATGAAGAACAATTCTTTGTTCTAAATTCGTTATATACCTTACACGACGAGATAAAAAATATAATCGCTAATTCATAACATTGTAAGGAGTATTTTAAGTGGAGATATATAAAAATAAAAATATATTCAATAATATTATTTCAAATATAATGAAATGTTGCTTATGATGATCTGATAAAATCACGCAATTTAGATTAAAAAATTGCGAACTGTACATAACTTTAGATTTTAAAACTAGAAGAACGTAAATATAGTAAAATATATAGATATAGACCCTAAATATAACGCACGTACGTACGCGCGCATACACACATTTTATATACGTACTGCCATGTTCAGTAAGATACATAAAGAAAGAAATAAGATATATGCGCTCCAATATTCTAAGCAAATATTAATTATAAAAGTTTCGTTATAGTAATTTGAAATTACAGTTTAAAAATATAAAATCAGAATATATGTGTGTGTGTGTGTGTGTGTGTGTGTGTGTGTGTGTGTGTGTG